ACGCACACACGCACAGGTCACAACCATTGAAATCATATAGTAGTTAGACTAGCTCTCTCTCTCGCTCTCTCTCCTCTCGCTCTCGCTCTCGTCTCTCTCTCTCCTTCTCTCTCTCTCTCTTCCCTCTCTCTCTCTCTCTCTCTCGCTCGCTCTCTCTCTCTCTCTCTCTCTCTCTCGCTCGCGCTCTCTCTCTCTCTCTCTCTCTCTCTCTCTCTCTCTCTCTCTCTCTCTCTCTCTCTCTCTCTCTCTCTCTCTCTCTATATATATATATATATATAAATTATATATATATATATATAATTGTATATATTATATAGGTGTCTCTATATATTTCCACGGTCACAACACAGCCACACCGCTTGCATTTGCTCTCTGGTTAAAGTAAACACGTCACGATGAGTGTGCATTGTTATACTTATTATGTTATGCGAAGAAAAGTAGTAGCACTATTCTCTGTGACGTAATTACTTTGCGCCTACAGACTGGATAATATAACACTTGAGATGTAGTGACGATATGAGTTCTCTTAATCCCCCTCTTATATCCTCAGTGTCAAGAGTCATGCTAAGGCGTTTGTGGTTAATATCGAGTACAACAAGAATTAACTTCGCATTTTTCCGAAACCCACTCGCTTCATATTTTCGCTCTCTGGCATCGGTCGTGGCGAGAGAGAGAGAGTTAGAGAAAGTAAGGCGGAGAGATAAGAACGCGTGGGTCGCATACTCTGTGAACAGTCGGGTCCCGCGTATCCACTGAAGCAGATACATTCGCCTTTGTCGCACTCGCCACGCCCACTACAGTCACCCGGACAGCCTGAATCCATCGAGTCTGCAATAAAAGACAAGAGAACACCTTAACTCGAATTTTCATGCAAGAAATAACAGGAGAACATCCAGAATCAAGCTTCTACGCAACGAAAAACAAAAAGGTCGCCCTGAATCCAACTGGATTGCGATAATAAAAATAAGAGGATACCCCCAAATCCAAATGTTGAGAACAGCGTGCATGTAAATAAAGCATCAACACCCCGAAGTTAGTGTTAGGTAGGTCATGCCTCTCTAGCGTGGCAGGAGCTGATCACAGCTCGGTATCTCCCATCTCTACCAAGCAGTGAGAGTTAATTTGGTCTGACAAACTTCACCGGCGGAGCGATCAATCGGAAGGAACTTCCAAATGTAAACAAGCATGAATTTCTTCTACATCTGCGAAAGGGCAGCTTTAACCCATCTGAGCGTAACGCTGAACAGCTGAATAAGCTGTGGTACAGGGCCACTTTTGACGCAGTCAAAACATAGGAAAAATACATAATTAGTGGGTTGGCATTACCTAACAGATCACGCTTAATTTAAAGTCCACGTGCATCGTTATCAGTAGAGGATACATCGGGTGAGAATACAACTCTTGCATTCAGATGTGAAGAGAATGTCTCCTAGTCGATTATTCTAAGACTGAGAAGTTGCAACCGGGGTGCAACTTTGCTGACCGGGGAATGCTTACCATCTCTGGTGCTCATGAAGGTCACAGATTGCTTGTCGTTGCCGTCGTTGTAGATGTATAGGAACCACATGCCTCGCTCGAGGTACTGCATGAACGCGCCGCTCACTATGCGCTCTGCCGACCGCTCGAACCTCTGCGAAACAACGACTCAAGTCCGTAAACACCATATTCCAAAACACACGCACACACCATACGCGCACACACACACACGCGCGCGCACACACACACACACACACACACACACACACACACACACACACACACACACACACACACACACACACACACACACACACACACACACACACACACACACACACACACACACACACACACAC